CTCGCCCGGTACACTATTTTTAAACAAATAGATAATATTATAAAAATACATAATATGTAAAATACATAAAAGGACCGAAGAGTAAAGATATTTTTATTATACAATTAATATTTTGATTACACGCGGGCAAAATGTAAAAGAACTAATATCTTTATAATAATAAAATATATAATAATAATTAAAAATAGTAAAAATTAAATAAAAAATAGGATTTTAATAAATTACTTTTACAAGGACATTGTTCCAAAATTTGAAATATTTAAACTAATTTATAATATTTAAATTGTATCAACTACATTTAATGATAATTAATACAATACCAACTAATGCTGTTTATAAAATGCAACATACAGTGTCAATATGTCAAAACACAAATAAATATTAATTAACTTTAATTATTACATTAGTATTTGAAAAGTAACAAAAGCTATTATAAAAATACTCTAAAGCTATTATAAAGACATGTATATTGTTAACAAATTGGAAAACAAGATCTAAGTGGCCTAAAATTTCCACTATCGTACAAAATAATATAATCAGTCAATAGGCCAACAATGAAACCAGTGACTTGTAATGTCACTAAACGTTATGAATAGCTTATGGAACAATCGTAAAATATGAAACTGTAAAAGAGTAACCTTATAGGCTAGTTTCTAGCATTTATGGCAGTTTCGATAGTCATAAAAATTATACATTAATAGCTTTAAGAAATTTTCGTATTATGTTAATTCTAAAAATTATTTTTAAAAGATTTTAAAAATATTCTATTTTTCTATATATTTAAATTTTATCAAATATAACATTATAAATTTAACGTGCATAAAGCAATTAATCAATTTAACTGAATTTTACATAAATTTTATAGAAATAGTAATTTCCATTGTAATTTTGTTCTATATTTAACATTGTATTCATTAGTTGCAATTAATTAAGAGATTTGCTTATAAATATTAACTCTATTTATTTTCATATTATCGATTATTAATGCAATTGTTTAATGTTGGAAATAAATTCAGTACTTTAATTAATATATCGAAACTTTTTAAAATTCATTAAAAGAATTAAAACTTTTTATATGTAATTTTATATAAATAATTTCCTATTAATATAAATTAATTTTATAAGATAATTAAAATTATTTCATAAATTTTTATTTAAATGTAATGAAATTCTAATCCTAACAATCGAAATTAATTTAACAAATTAATCGTAGTAAGGCATTCCTTTTTACTTAATAATAGTAATAAACATAAGCTTAAAATATTTATAATTATATTTTCAAATGTTTAAAATCGATCTATATCTATGCCTCGGAGTAAAATAATAGAAAATTAAATAATTTTGATAAAAGGTAAGTGCATTCTGATTAGAGTTATGGATTCTTAATAACAAAATTTTGTATCTTTATCAATTATTATTCGCTATGCTTGATTATACAAATGGGAATACGCCCACTTCCGTACTAATTAATATTGGCTGTATAATGTTACTATATATTATTGATATAGTATAAGATTGTATCTATAAAATAATTTAGATCAGTCGAGTACTTCTGAATATAAAATGTGTATTAGCGGAACAATCAATGCTGAGCTAATTATTCTCTCTCTCTCTCTCTCTCTCTCTCTCTCTCTCTCTCCCTCTCTCATTGCTATTCTATTAGTATACATTTATGAATGGGCGAGTAATGCATAATTAATAGAGCGAATAAGTACAAAAGAGAATAAAGTATACCATATTCCCTTTGAATTACTCGCCTACTCATTAATTTGGAATGAAAATAATTTGGTACAGAAATAAATTTAAAATAAAGTATAAACATATGAATAAATTGATAGATAGAGAATGAGAGCGAGGGCCAAACCAACTACTTTTCTTTTATTCAATAGTATTTAAAATATAAAGGGTTTTATAAGGAAATAATGAAAAGATGGCAACGTTTTGAGAATAAAAAGAAAATACGACTGCGGCATAAAAATCATAGAATTGTTTTAGACTGAGAAATCCTATAATGAAGTGCTTAAGACTGAGAAATAATAAAATTAAGCTTAATAAAATAGAACTCCTTTGTATAAAGCATAAATTAAAAAATATAATTATAATAAAAACGTTAAACGCCCATAATAATGCTTGTTTATAGAATGCATATACGCAAGATTTATAAATACATGACATTCGATATCTTTCGCAGTGTAATTCAATGTAGACTGAGAAATCCTATAATGAAGTGCTTAAGACTGAGAAATAATAAAATTAAGCTTAATAAAATAGAACTCCTTTGTATAAAGCATAAATTAAAAAATATAATTATAATAAAAACGTTAAACGCCCATAATAATGCTTGTTTATAGAATGCATATACGCAAGATTTATAAATACATGACATTCGATATCTTTCGCAGTGTAATTCAATGTAGACTGAGAAATCCTATAATGAAGTGCTTAAGACTGAGAAATAATAAAATTAAGCTTAATAAAATAGAACTCCTTTGTATAAAGCATAAATTAAAAAATATAATTATAATAAAAACGTTAAACGCCCATAATAATGCTTGTTTATAGAATGCATATACGCAAGATTTATAAATACATGACATTCGATATCTTTCGCAGTGTAATTCAATGTAGACTGAGAAATCCTATAATGAAGTGCTTAAGACTGAGAAATAATAAAATTAAGCTTAATAAAATAGAACTCCTTTGTATAAAGCATAAATTAAAAAATATAATTATAATAAAAACGTTAAACGCCCATAATAATGCTTGTTTATAGAATGCATATACGCAAGATTTATAAATACATGACATTCGATATCTTTCGCAATGTAATTCATGTTGAAAACTAGTCTATAGATTCGACATGTATACTTGTGACCACCGGCTGTAAGCCTAAGCTTAGACTATCGAGTGTTAGGTGCGAGAAAATATCGTGTTATCTTTACTGCATACGATATGAAGCGACGGCTCTTGCAACGCTCTCATACACTCCTTCCATTGATTTTACAGTCATTCTGCGGAGTAGTCGATGCTGTACTTAAATCACGGTAAGTAGAAACGTCTCAAATTTTATTGAAATTGTGTTTTACTAAATTGAAAGATAACATAACCTTTCAAGGCTACGCGCAAAATCAAAACTATACATCTCCCATATAAAATATCGATCGCGAGTGTGTACATTAGAAAAGTTTCGTCATGTTACTATTGTTGCTGGTATTATTATCGTTTTATATACTACTGACACAATTTTTTTTTAATTACACGATGAATTTGAATTATTCGATACAATCATCAAATTTTTAATTTATGCCATCTCGGATTCTTAATAAAGATCATCATTAAATTCAATATTTTTTTAGTATTGTTTATAATTATGATAAAACAAAGGAATTAAGTAAATGAAGTAGCATAATTATTGTTTTATTTGTTTTAAAAACTCCAAAATTAATCTATTATTCTAATCTGAACATTGTTAATCATTAAAAAAAAAAAATTAATGTTTATATTTTGTTTATTTTTGCATAGAATAGTATAAATACAAAAGAAAATAAAGCCGACTATTATTATTATATTATATGTTTGCAATTGAAAAGCCTTCTCATATATATATGCTTTATAACAAATGTGAATTATATTTCCTTTACTAATCACTTTTTTTTTATTCTTGAAATTGTACATGATCCAGTATAGATTTTTATATGGTGATATTTTCTCGTGAATTTCATTCAGCTTTTACGTTTACATTCATATTCATAAAATTAATATAATAAAAGAAAAAATAATTTTTAATATGTATTTTTTAATTCAATATTTTTAATTTCAATTATTCAACAAATTTATTAAATACAATTAAATTTTAATTCAATTTCATAATATTAATATGTTGTCTAATACTCATCTAAGAAATACAGCTATATCATTTTCATACAAATCGTTCATATTCATTTTATACAAATCGATTTTATTTATAACATTAGCGTATAACATTAGTAGTATCAAATATTGGGAATTAAGGTGTTATATAATTTAATTAGGATTTAATATATTATATTTTATTAGCTGAAACATGTGCCTAATATTACATGAAAATACAGTCATTTAAAATCATTAAAAATTTGGTTTACGGTAAATTTTTATTTAAAGACTAAAGATTATATGGAATTAATGCTTCTTTAAAGTAAGTTTATATCCATTTATTTCCATACAGTGATATGAGTTTCGACCATATTTCTATGTTTGTTTTATTTCTTTTTAATATTTCAATTTCTTTTCATAACCAGTGTTAATTGTTTGTCCAATTTAATTTTCAATTTTTAATATTTCTATATGATAATGTTTGTTAATTAAATTTTAAATATTTTAACAATCTGACGAGATTTAATGCACTAAATTTTCATTTTATTTTATAATTAAGAATTGAAAATTTATTATAACTGAAATATGTTTCCATATACTAGTAATGAAAAAATTATTAAATTTAATAAAATGTTTGTTCAAAATATTAAGATTTCTTTATTTATATTTTTCAATAAAATTTGAATTCATTTTTATTTAAGTTGTAGCTTATGCTTTCCTGCATGACTTTAATGCGATTCCTGATAAAATTTTGAAATAATATGCTCGTGATGAAAGAAAAACAATTTTAAAATTAGATATTTTTTACTAAATTTATTTTCATTTGACAGAATAATTTTATAAATAATTGTCTGCTAGTGAATTCCAATATATACTTAATAATATTTTTGATAGATCAATAGATATAATTTGTTAGTAAATATATTCTTTTTATTAAATTTTATTAAATTTGTTCTTTTTAATCGAAGATTTTTAATTAATTTATCAGGATTTAACCGAATAAAATCCTTTCTTCTTTCCTGATAGCTAACAAGAGTTGTCAGGTCCAAGTTTGCAAGCTTCTTGAGAAGTTATGCATCGAAATGAAAATGATCGTTATAAGAGTATTTCGTACAATTGCAAAGCTATGGAAAAGTTTTTATTTTATAATTGGCTAAATACTGAAACATTCACATATTGAAACGAAATACTTCGCATCAGTTCTGATACAATAAGAATAATTGAACTCAATTTTAGTATAATATGATTATATTTTTATATAGTTATTTACTTTCTTTTTGTATTTAATCATAGATTGAATTCATGTTTAAAGTTTTCTGGAATTTGAAATAAGTGACAAGATTTATAAATCTAATTGCACTGTGAGTATCTATTGAATAAAACACGGCCTTACATAATAATTCTAAGGCTAATGATAAGTTAAGATTTGAAATTACAAGATGAAAATATAAAAAGTTAATTTGATGAGATATTTTCACTTATTATTTATAATATATAATTAAATATTATATTTATATAGGTATTTTTCATAAGTGTTTTCTTAGCAATAAAATACGTAACAAGCATACTGCCATCGCTGTTCGATGTCGAAGTGCACATGTGCATAACATCAAATTGATGCGGGTACAATCTCTCGTTCTCTCTCTCTCTCTCTCTCTCTCTCTCTTTGTATCCCCCCCCACTCTTATTCTCGTCCTCTTTATTTCAGCCTCTATATTTGTAGCTTCGGCAATACGCTTGCGCTTGTAAGGACTTTCTACAAACGTACCTCTTTATACACAAATTTTACTCCCATGAGCATAACACTACCGCAAATGTGCACGAAACTGTTACGACCCATGAAATTGTATACATATAAGTAATAATGATGAATCTCTTTATACCAACCTAATTCTATTTCTCTTCTCATATGCTATATTTGATTTTCATTATAATAAATTTGACTTTTCAGTACAATAAATTTATACTTAATTTAGCAACGGCCACTTATTAAACGTAAAAATTGTTGTTCAATAAAAATTAATTGGAGTTATGATAAAGGAGTAAACAGATCAAATCAAGCACTTACTAGTCAAAATCTGTACATAATATAAATATTACATCCTTTCCAGATTTATCATAAAATTCAGTTATTTTTATTAGTTATTTTTATTTTTATTATTTTTATAGTCAATATATAATTACATTTATTACATAAAATCTAGAATTGCCTGTATAAAATGACATTTAAATCGTTATTTTTAACTAATAATATTGGTTGCCCTAATCTGATAAAATTTGTTTGAAATTGACTTTACAATTGTGGTTTATCAGCATAACTATTATCTTGAGAATTTTGACATATTATATTAACTAAAATAAATAATCTACACAAGGTTATATATGGAAAAATGAAAATATTTATAAATAAAGATACTTTTGAGACCATAAAAAATTATCCGTTGTAACATCACACATATTAGTGTATTTAATAGAAGAAAATCCGAAGTATTGAATTAGTTACAATAGTGACTAAAAGATGTTGGTTAAATAAATATATGATGTCAATTTTATTTTTAAGTATAAGTATTTGGAAATTTTTGTAACAGAACTAATAAGGTATTAAAATATGAATTTTCAATTATCATATTGCTATATTCAAAATTCTTTTCAATCGAATTTTTTTTTTCCTTTTCAGAATATGATAATATTAGAATTGATCTATCTTTTATGCAAAAAAGAATTTTAATCGAGTTGAGATATCATTATTACGGTATATTGAATTGGAAGAATTGTTAAAATTAAATTAATTATTGAACGCACTTTGAAAGGAATGTTTTCAATTGCCTAAAACGTGAAGATGCTCGAAATGAATAATCATGATAAGTTTATATGCTTTTTCATGTTTTATCATATTCGCCATAAAACAGTTTTCTGTTAATTCAAATATGAGTTTCGATCATATTTTTTATTAGCAGTGTTAATTGTCCCAATTTGATTTTAAATACTGAACATTTTTCTATAGAAACTGTTGTTAATTAACTTATAAAGTTTAATAAATGGACAAGCTTTTTGAAACACTTTTCTATATACCACTAATGAAATAATAATTGTGATAAATTGTCAACATATATATAAACCATTAAAACCTTCTTGATATATTGATATATGATCTCGTTAGAGTAAATAATCTTTAAATGTAAGCTTTCTTATATTTGTTAATATATTTAAATTTAAACAGTAAAAAATATATTTACTTGAAATTTACACATGAAGCAGTTTAAAAATGTGTCACAGACCAAATTTGTTTGTATGAAAATTAAAATTAATAATGAAAAACGTTATTTTTACCTATTTGAGACGAAATATTTAGAAATGAATGGTCTTTTTAGTAAATATTAATTTATTTTCAGTAATTCGTACAGTGCTGAGGTTACTAAGGAAGTTGAATTTGATCAGGAAACAGAGTAATTCGAAGAAGCCAGTTTACCTCTGCTCTATTTCTTCGAAATATTATAATGTATCTACAATATATAAAATATTGAATAGAACATTGTCTATGACACTGAAGTTCTCAGTTTGAATCTTAACTTGCTAGTTTAATTACATTTTTATATATGTAATTAACTATATTTTGTTTTTATGCTGTGAACAATCTGTATCAGTAAAGGTATGATATAGCATTATAATTTTTTTTTCAAAATATATTGTATTTTTCGAAATTTATTGTATGATAAATCTGAAATTTATATATGAAAGAAAATTAATTTTATTGTCCCATAAGTTACAAGTTTTCTTGAAATCTTGTTACAGTATAATATACATATATATATATAATACATTTATTATTGATTAATAAATACATATAAACATATAAATATTAACTAACAAATACACATACCAAAAATACACCAAATATAATCTTGTGTATTGAAATACCGTATAAAATTTTCTAGTATGTAATTGTTTTTACTAATAATAATGATCAAATGTAAAATCTATTCCCTTTCATTATTTTTATGGTGGTACCTATTTTAATGAAAAAAACTTTAATTTAATATATAAAGTTTTCTTAACATTTTAAAACCATCAATTCTATAATAACCATAAATTTAATATTGCAATTTAAAAAATTATATTAAAAAAAATTGTTACAAAAATTTAATAAAAATTAACCATAAATCTTTTTACGACAAAAATTCAAAGTATTGGTTTATTAATTAAACCATATGGATATATATGTATATATATGTATATATAATTTTGAACAAATCGATATGTAAATACAGCTAGAACATTTAAGACTATCTGTACTGCAGATAACAAGTCTAAATATGTCTATATTTTTTTTATTATAATTATTTTTATAATTATATAATTGTTTCTGGTTAATTACATTAAATAATCAAAATAATCGTGATTATATTTGCGTATAATTAACGAAAACTACATTTGCGTTTAACGATATATCTCGCACACATTCTTTCAATTTCGACAATCTATATAATATATAATATTATATCTTTATACTATCTATATTGTAACTTAAATTTTTTAAGCGCACTTTGAAATAATATAGTATTTTACAGCAATATATCAATACAATATATCATACTTTAAAACGAATATTGCATTTACAAGTTTTCACAATTAAATAATGCATACTTAAATGATCAACAGTAATAATACATTACTTAATAATATGATGACAATACTATCTTACATACCTATAAGCTCATAAATTTCTATAACATGAATAATAATCATAATGTCATTTATTTAATAATAGAAAAATATATATGTATTACAGGAATTCGTTAAATAAAAATGCGAATAGCATCATGTTACTTCAAGCGTTTGGTATTAATAATCGGATTAACTATTCTCATTTTTTGCCTGATTCAATTTCTCAAGTTCGAAATAACGTTCTATGACAGAAATGATCGCAATGATAAACTGTAAGTACAGATATACAATACATATTTTTATAATATTGCGTATACGCAATAAACATTTTATATTATATCATGCATTTATTCTAAATTAATCGATTGATTTTTAATTGGTACTAATAATTTTTATAAAAGATACAATCGTTATAAACATTAAAATTTTAAACATAATATTTAATGTAAATATATAAAATTACGTTTTCTCATTAATAAAAATTCATATTATTTATATGAATTTACTATATTATGTATTTATAAAATTGATGCAAACAAAAATAGTATAATTCTTTTTTTTATTAATATATTAATTTTTAAACTTGTAAATTTTTGAAAATATTGTGATACTTTCATTTTGTATTTCATATTTTATCAATTTTATATTTAATTAAATTACTTATATTTTATGGATAATATTTTGAATAAAGAAATTCTTTAATTTAGTATGCAGATATTAAAATTGATTAAAAATTCCAAAGGAGAGGCATATTATGTCGGGTAAGTAGAAAAATTAATCAAATACAATAATACTTTGGGAATTCAGTTACTAGAGCTTAATGAATCGACCTATTCTATATTATATTTATTAATATAAATAATAATAATTTAATTATTAAAATATATTATTTTTTAATACATTTGAGTATGAAAACGTTTCTCAAGTAATTTATTCCTAATGTTTTAAAAGGAATAAATAGATTTGATAAATTTCTTTCTGAATTGATTATAGTAATTCATTTTTTAATGTTTATCAAATTTAAATTTGATGTATGTTTATGTGAGGAATTATAATCTAAAATTATAAGTTAACCAAATGCCTTACAATAACATTTCTTTATTTGTCTTCGATTTAGTATATAAAAATTGCACCCAAGAAATTTTCATATAAAAAATATATATTCTAAATATTATCTGTACATGAAATTCACTCATTAAATTAAGTTTAAAAAATTAAAAAATAAAAAAATCATTAATGTAATACAAAATTCTTTTAAGTAAATTATGTTCTGCTAAAGAATAAATTAAAAACTTTAATTATTTTTATTTAAAGAAAAACCAGTAGATTGTTAAAGGATTAATATATTTTCTAATAATTCAATGTTGTTTTTATAATAAATTTGGTCTAATTAATAATTAATTTTTCTGAATGCACAGCATGAATGTTTTAAAGAACAAATATTTTTAGAGATGGTTCCCCTGCGTGTAAATTACCACGATTGGACATTTTTAATCCAGAGATAATGAAATTTATACACGATGTTCCTCCACTTCAATGTTCACCTGAAGACTGGGTGAAAGCTGAAGGATCTAAACTATTTATTGATAAAAATGCAAAGAATCAGTATGGACAAATAACATGTTCATTTAATGGTAAGTTTTATTTATTTTATATATATATATAATTATAATATCAATGTAAAATATAAAGAAATTTGAAATTATAAATTGAAGCTTTAATTCGGACTGAAATTAATTAAATTCAAATTTAAAATTTATATTCTGAAATATATAATAACGTGAAAATGGCTGATTAAATTTTTCTGTAATATTTTATAAATAAAATTTTTTTTTAATTTAATGATTATTTCATAAATATTAGTTAACCTAGACATTAAAAGTTCTGCCAGCAAAAGTGGGCACTAACATGCATTATGTTTAAATCTTTTATACATATGTTGAGGAATGTTTGAAGAGTAAGTAAAAATAAAATACCTTAACAACAAACCAAATATGATCTCTTTGAAATACAAAATCTCATTTCTTAACTATTTATATTTCTTGCTTTGATTCTTATCGTTAACCAATGGCTTTCAGAGTAAATATATTCAATACCTTGATTATTAATTGACGTGATTTCAAATCACCATTATTGCAATGATATTATCTGTTACTTGTCTAACTAATAATAATTTTAAAAGTATATTATTTTAAATTATATACATGTGTGTGTGTGTGTGTGTGTGCGCGCGCGCGCGCGCGCACGTGTGTGTGTATATTTGATATCCATTACATACTGTAATAATGAATTTAATTAGCAGCTCTAACTAGAATTTAACAATTTTATATGCTAGTCCAAAAATATTTGTATAGAACTCAAATAAATGTCGGTGTAATTAAATATATTTATTTATATTTTCTTAATATTATGTTTAATAATATATCTAACATAAGGTAGACCTGAGAATCTTAGCATAAAATATTAATAAAAACAATTACTGAACTAATAAGTTTGTTTCTATTATTTAATAATTATTGTCACAAATTAATAATTGTAATTTTAATTAACTTAATTTATGTTTCAATTTTCTATTTTGAAATAAATTATAAACTACTGTATATTATTTTAATTAATTTTTCAATTGTAAAATTTTAATTATTAAGTATACATAAATTAATTATTAATTTCAATTATTAAAAATATGAATTACTAAGTAATTATTTCTAAAACAATTATCAAAATTTCAATTTTCTTAGAAATTCTTAGAGTAGATGACTATAACTATATACTGACTGACACAGTTGAAACGGATAAGTTTTACGTCCTTCGAAAAAGCGATTATGCAGAAGTTAATTGCAAAACGCAAACAGGAAAACGGTGAGTATTATTTGAGTTCTTATGAACGAATATTATTAAGTTATACGAATTAGTAATTTAGATACAGTATAGTATAACATTAAAAATATGATTAAATTAATGTTAACGAACTTTTAATTTCAAGTCTATTTTTCAGAGTTGATTATTGATAATTTATGGAGTCTTAATTTTGAGTAATTAATTAAATTTAAATAATTTAAAATCTTTTCCCATTTTTATTATTCTTAATAAATTTACTTGATTAATCTTTTTATTATCTTTGAATTTATAATTTGTTTACATACTGCCATAAAATTATATTAAATTATAAAATTTAAACTATTATAATTTGTTTTTTGAAATATTTTAAAATGTATTTTGTATAATTCTATTAAACTGAATATCATTGCTTTATAAATTTAAATATATAAAAAAAACTAGTCAACTACTTGTTTATTAATATTTCTATAATTTCTTTGTATTTTAGTACCATACTTTGTTGAAAATCATTCAAATCCATTTACTAGAACAACAAAACTAAATGATGTCATTTGCAATTTAATAATATGAAAAATTAATATTATATAATAAAATTTAAAAATAATAAGGTATAAGTAACATGATGCTTATTCATATATCTATAAATTGATAGAAATAAATAACGATATGTCGAACTGTATTATAAATTATATTACAATTTTAATCTAATTTATTATAAGCTAAGAGAATTTTTTTTCAAATGCTGGTTTCGAATTCAAATTATTGAAAATTTTTTTAATTTTATTCTACGAATATAATTAAAATTTTTTAATCGTCCTTAATGTTAACAAATTTTAATATATCATTTTTCATTAATACCTTTAATTTTTAAGAAATTTTTTTTAAAGAAATAATTATACATACTATATAAATGGTTTAAGAATTTTTATTGTCACATTAACTTAAAACAAGATTGGAAGGTGATTCTTTGGATATTGGAATTTTACAGCTGAATTACTAATTAAATTTGTGCACTAAAAAATTAATTAGGCAGCAATGGCATCATATAACTTTTGATTGATACTCTAAAATAAATTTTATAAAACGTCAAAATAATAAATGAGTTATCTGTGAATAAAAATGGAATTGACATAATTATTACCATGTGCTCGACATGTCACTGCTAATTTCAATTTTATAATAAGAATTAAAAATATTTCGTAGATGGCATACTATAATAGCAGCAGTTAGAGATGATCCTGAGCGAAAACGCGATGTCACCTGGAGCAAAGTGCCTAGAGAGGCTTTGAATCTTAACATTCTCATGTTTGGTTTCGATTCACTATCTCAGAATACATTTGCACGTAAATTACCACGTTCAAATCGTTACCTGCGTCAAAATCTTGACAGTATTATTCTCAAGGGTTACAACATCGTCGGCGATGGTACCCCACAGGCTCTTATTCCGATCCTCACGGGTAAAATTGAGCTTGAGTTGCCGGAAACACGCAAGCGCATGGGCGCCAAGGCCCATTATGTAAATGTTTACCCTATGATCTGGAAGGATTATAAGCAGGCTGGGTTTATTACTGGTTTCATGGAGGATGTACATCATATAGGCACATTTACTTATAGACTCAAGGGTTTCGACGAGCAGCCTACTGACCACTACATGAGAACTTACTATTTGGCTGCTTCGCCACATTTTAAGTACTCTAAGAGTTTTTGTATGGGTGGAATTCCACGACATTTAGTGAGTCATTTTCTAAATGCCTTACTTTCATTTGAAAATATTTGTTTTCGTATTTACTTCGGAATCATTTTTTTAATATATCTTTATAATAAAATTTTGATTGCTTCATAACTAATATTAAAATACAAATAATGTTTCCAAGAACACTAATTACTTACTATGATCCGATCTAAGACAAATAATAGATCGGTAATTTAACAATGTTCAAACTTTTATATTATATATGTTTATAAAAAAAATACTGCATACATTTTTTAACAACTTCTATACCACATAAAATTTTTTATTAAGCTTATATCATTAACGAAGAAATAATATTTTGAAATATTATTTATAATTTAATTTCACATAAAATATAATGTCTTAAAACATATTCAATTTATTTAGGTAATGATGAACCATATTAAATCAATTTTTAACAAATATAAAGATCAACCAAAATTTATCTTTGGATTTCATGGAGAACTGTCTCATGATTCGTATAATGATATTGGTGTGGCAGATGACGATGTTTTACATTGGATTAAAGATTTAAAGGAATCTGGACATTTAAATAATACCATTTTAATTTTAATGAGTGATCATGGTCATAGGTATGTTATGCATATTATTGTTAGAATTTTTAAGAATATTCTTTTACTAGACTTTTATTTATTTTGTGAAGAAAATTAACATTTTTTATTATTTATTATTTTATAATTTCAAATTTTTAATGGATATACTGACAAAACAAGTTAATATATGCATTATCTATATCGAAATTTAATAAAAGTAATTTAAAAAAATATTTAATTTTTAAATTCGTTAAATTATTTTTATATTAATATTACAGATTTGCGGAAATTAGAAACACTCTTCAGGGTAAACAAGAGGAGCGATTACCTTTTTTCTCATTTACATTTCCTCCTTGGTTTAAGAAGAATTATCCTCAAGCATACGCTAATTTTCTGTTTAATGCACAACATTTGACTACACCTTTCGATATACATGTCACTTTAAAACACATTTTAAATTTTAAAGAACCTAAAGAAGGTGATATTCGTAATCGTGGAATCAGCTTATTTGATAAGGTATATTTTCATAAATATAGATATACACGTAGCCCTACTTCAGTTAGTATATTTATACTGTGTTTTTAGCTAAACGTTACGTAATTTATAATGACCTATTTGTTTTATAAATAAATAATATAAGAATAGTATCAGATATTATAAGAAATGATATAAGAAACAAATCAAATAAAAAAATTAATAATGCACTTTAGCTAAAAACTTTAATTTAATTTACATTATATTCATGGTGTATACAATATTAATCAAAATGTGATTGTTTTATTAGATTCCTCTTAAAAGAACGTGTTCCGATGCATTTATCGAACCTCATTGGTGCGTATGTTTATCCTGGCTTGAGATTCCGTTAGATCAAGAAGTGGTTCAAAAAGCCGCCCAATATTTACTTAAATTTTTGAATTCCTACACAGAAAACCATCGTGATATATGCGAAAAACTTCGATTAGGCCAAATTTTGTGGGCAGCTAAATTGATTCCTACAAAAGGTGAATTGTTCATTTATTGGAACATTTCATTAATAATATTATTTGTAACATATCGACCTAAAACTAAAGAAGCGAATATGTGAGAAAGTAAAATAATATTTATTCGTTTTCTCTTATAATTACAATTAAATAAATCAAATTATTGATTATCTTAGAAATTTTAACTTGACTTCATTTAAATTATTTAAATTATTTTTATTTAAATTTATTTTAATTTCTTGGTAAGAAACTACAAAAATTCTACACACTTTTATGTAAAATTGTATCACAACGTGATTATAATTAGTATTATAATGCAAAGTAATAATTAATAAATGAAAAATACATTTAATTAATTCATTATGTGTAGTAGTTTTAATAAATTTAATTTTTATTTTTACAGGAATTTTACATTTTCAAAAATCTCGAGATACAGATGGATTTGTATCTGAATTAAGTGCCAAGACTAAACTTACAACTGAATTATATCAGTTAAAAATAAAAGCTTTACCAGGAAAAGGACTTTTTGAAGCAAGTATTTCGCGAGATATAAACAAAAATATTTTTTTTACAAGGGTTTGTATATAAATTTGTAATATTTACTACAAAAATATCAATGTATTTGTATATAAGTTAATTATTTTACAAAAGATTTTTTTATTTACTGCATTACATCAAAAATAATTTTTGTAATGTAATTTAACATTTTAATGCATAAATATCTGTATTTCATAAGCTATATGGATATAATTAAAAAGCGTAATATTATAAGAATTATGAATACGTAATATACAAATTATAGCTTTTATAAAATATTTTTTAGATATCGGATATAAGTAGAATAAATATGTATGGATCACAAGCAAAGTGCGTAGAGAACAGCTTATTTCATTTACGTAAATACTGCTACTGCAAAGAATGATTACAAAATTGTGCAGTATCAAAAACTCGAATGTAATGTAACAATTAAAATTTTATATTATTAAATAATAAAGATCAAGAAATCTGAAACTCTTCATATATTATCAGTATCAAGAAAGGTCAATGTAATACATATCAGATAATAGAAAACTCAAGTATTAAATTTATGAAGTACACTTAAATGAATGATGCACATAGGAAATTGAAAAATACAGAATTTTTAGCAACCAGACAAGACTTTTTCATAAATTCTAAGGCAAGAAATAAGACATTAATTTAATATTGTTGGAAATCATATTTGAATTTTGTATAGTTAAGTTTCAAAACTCTTTTCATAATTATTAGTTTCTAATTTCAATACTATCTCCTGTATATATAGCATAAGTTGTGAAAAAAAGTATTGAATTAAAATAATTTACTTGAATATAAGAATGGACATTTCTAGTATAAATATGCATAAAATTGAAAATAATAAATTTTTTTGTACATATTGCTATTTTATATAGCTATAATTGAACATCAATTATAAGTCCGAATTTGAAATTATAAAATTTAGAAAATAGCTACGACTGTGTTAATACTATAGACATTTTTATTTTATTGATTGTATCTAAAATGAATTTATTTATAGAATAGCTTAAAAATTAATAATTAAAACAACTTTTTCTATTTCATTTCATTCATTTCTGATATTTAATTTCTCTATACGTAGACTATAAAAAACAGTAATTTTAAAAAAGGTATTTAATAATCATATAAAAAAATAATAACATGAAATTTTTTTAATTAATATTTCGTATATTATATAAATTTTTTGTAATGAATAGCACTATTTAATTATCTACAATAACGAGAACTAATAAAGTATTATTAATGGATAAGTATGAATAAGTTTATGTATTAGTTATTATTTTTAAATCATATTAAATTGATAAAACACATTCAAATTTCTATAAAATTGTAGGCATCTTTTATTGTATTATATTAGATATAAATTTCCATTCATGTCGACAATGAAGGAAAAATTATTAAAGAAAAATATGTTTTCACTAGTTTATTACAAATACATTTGAATGTTTATATATATAATAAATAGAATACTAACAAACATATTAAGGTTCCAAACTTATTTATGTTGCTTCAAGAAAATTGATTTAGTGGTACTTAAAAAAAAATTTAATTTTCCTAAATGTAAATCTATATTATATATTTTTAAATACTTTGAATCGTAATATAAAATTTAACCATTTGTTATGAAATAATGTATCATGAATCAGTTATATAAATAATTACCTGTAGCTAGTTAAATAGTTCGTAAAATTAAAAAAAAAAGATTTGCATTTATTTTCACACAAGAAATATACCATAAGCATATAAAAATTAATGAAAACATCAAATAATTAAATTTTTATTTTTGTGTATTAATATTGAAACTTATCATTATGAAAATAATGATCATTTAAAATTATATTTTAAAATAATTGATTTTGATAATACCATATCAATCAATGAGTATATTTCAAAATACTTATAAAATATATTTATAAAATAAACTCGTATCGAATTAAGAGTCAATCCAATACATTATTCATATTATATTTTTATTTTTTTTTAGTCATAATTAAATATTTCAGAAACTAATTCTTATAAATATCTTAATAAAAATTATTGCCTTCGAATATATATAACAGATACTTTTATAAATAAATATAAAATTTTTTGGTTATTGTTATGACTTATAAAATTATAAACTTATTAACATTGTAAAATATGATATAGAATATTTTTTAGTCTGAGTATTATCTAAATAGTATCAGATGTCAATATAATTTTTTAGGGTGATGTATACTATATATTATGTGTATTACATATTTATTCATAAAATTTCTTGATTTCATAATTTAAAAATCATATAATATATTTATTTATAACTTTATAAGGTACAGTTATGTATCCAAATCACTGAAAATATTTTATTATATGAACTACATTTTAAAAACTCTCATTTTTAATATTTGGAAATCTTTTTAAAAAAATCTACAGTGTTTTTATTAAAAGCTATTTATATTATTATTATTTTTTATTACAATTGGAACTTCAAATATGGTGTTATGAATATATGTATTTATGATGATGTCTGTACACACATAATTTTTATTTATATGACTATTAACACTATTTTTTGGATAAGTAATTTAATTAATATAAAAACTAATTACTAAACATTATTGAACTTTATAAAAATACAATTAAAATAATAAAACAAGCGTTGCAAGAAAAAAAAAAGATAATAATGCTTATAATGTGATGGAATAATAACTTAATTTTAACAATACTATTAAATAATATATAAAATATATTATATTTTGATTGTTAGCTACAATTTATTAGATTGAATATTTTTATGAGATTTTTTTTTTATACCAAAAAAAATTGATAACCCATTCATCTTTCTCTATTAAATATATATAGTAAATAATGAATATGAAAAAATAAATAATTTATTTGTAACATAAACAATTAGTATGAGCTATAATTATAGCCAATAATTTATATTTGACATTTTATTATTTTCATAATCTATATTTTATTGACATTATAAATTCAAAGTTAAAACTCTAAATAGAATTAATTTTTAGTATTTATTAAGTTAAAACATCGTTTTATTAATAATAATATATATTATAAAATTAAATGTTGAAGGTTTTGTAATTCTTATTATCTATATATTTTTAAAAATAATATTTATTGAATTTACTAACTTTAAATATTGGCTTTTCTTTATAATGTATATTTCTTAAATATAAAATGCATTAATTAAAAATACGAAGAAATTTGTTCAATCAGAACATATTTTCATAAAAAATTATAATTTATTATATTCTTTCCACATATTCATACAAATATCAAATATGAATTCATATGATTATTTTAATGTTATATTAGACGTTTTTCAGGTTAGTGCACGTGTTCATAAAGTATATTTTTAAATATTTTGAAAAACACTTTATTGAAATTGTATTAAATACCAAATAAATTATATTAGCATAAAAATAACAAATTTACGTTGCAACATGTTTAGATTACTTGTTAAAAAGAGAGAGAGAAATATATTAAAAAATGTGCCTATTTAATAAACTTGTATTCTTATATTTATAAATATTTAAGATAGTCAAATTATAGCCTTATAAGATTATAATGAACTGTAAATTTATTTTATGAAATTATATTTTAAATTATTAAAAATGAATAAAACATAAATTAAAATTAAATTAGAAATTTTAATATTAAATGATTAATAATAATTATTTATATACATTATATTTTCTTTCATCTTTTAATTTAAATAAATTCTGTTACAGTTTTGTAAAAATATTTGCCAAAAATTTGCTACATGAAAATTTGTTAATTAAGGCAGCATTAATTTCAATTCATGTATTGTATCTAAATCTTGTATTTTCAATTAAGTCATTAAGTTATAACATTTCGTATTTATATAAATGAAATTCTAAAGGGAAATGAAAATTTTTTGATAACATGGCAAATATTAGCAATTTGATATATATATATATATATATATATATATATATATCCATATATACTTATCATTAATTTAATTATTAAAAATGTCATCAATTGTAAAAATAGTAAATAATAAAGAATAAACATTTTATATATTTTGTCAAAGGTACATATTATTCATTCACTTTATTCACAATTGTAATTATTTAATTCCAAAGAGTCGAGCGTTATATCAACTCAATTATGTAATCTAAATTCTTCTTGAAACTCTATAATGTAGAAAGCCGCTGAAATTCAGAGAATATAAACTAAAAATAAAAAATTTTTAATTTATAAATTCAATTAAAAATTAAAAATAATCATCTAAATTTATGTTCATCATTAATATTTTAAACATTCTTATACTTTCTTTGCATAATCTTTTTACATTCATATTTAACTATTTATTATTTGATATATTTATTTGAATTTTATTTAATATTATTTACTTATCTATGTAGTATTTTAAGGCTACATAGATAAAATATACGAATGTTTTATTACATTTTCCATTATTGAAATAGTAAAATCTTTAACAAATTTAACTGTTTATCGTTCAAAATTGTTAGTTTTTGTTTATGTAATAAAATCACGAAATTGATTTTCAATTTTTACAAGAACAAGCATATATGCAAGTAGGTAATATTTGCATTTTAAAAGATATTGGCGGGAAATACCGTGGCTGTCATTATATTAAATTTCATTTTTTAATGTTTTCAATTATTGAAGATTGTAAGAATCCAATTACTATTATTTTTATTACATAAAAATATTAAATTTACATTAGCAAATTTTATCTTAAAAGCATGGAAGATGTGTCTGTATCAAAGGTATTTGTTATTATTTTCATATGTACGTAACCTAAATTTGATGATTGTATTATTCTAAATATTTATTTAATATATAATATTGTCAAATGATCACACATTATTATAATACAATTTTGTTGTTATAAAAAACTTTGTTATTTATAATTTATATGAATTTATGCAATTTAAAAAAAAAATAATGTTTAATTTTTATAAATATTTGGCATTTATAGACAATAATAATAAAATCATTATTATATAAATTCATCACATTGTTTTTAGTATATTTTAATTTCTTATTTTAATAATAATTTATCACATATATGTAATTATACATTTGTAATTTTTGAATATAAATTGTAGGGCTTGTTTCCTTATGCTATAAATAAATTTGGTAAAAGGAAAAGAAATATAATTAAAGACACATATAAGGATTCATCATGGTATAAAGTATTTAATGAAACTTGGTCATTAGTGGAAAATGCTGCTACTGTATGATATTTGTTTATAAAAAATTAATATTGATAATGTAATATTATAAATTTAATACTAATCCTTCATTTTTTATTTTTAGAAAGTTAACGACAAAACTTTTAGTGAAATTTTATTAGATTTAAAAAATTTTGTTACTAAAGTAAAAGATATACCATCTTTATTAGATGAAATACCAACTGGTATTTTATTAGCAGGTTGATTAAATTAATTTTTAGTTTATAATTATTGTAATTATGTTGCTTTGTACTAAAATAATTAAAAAATATTTATTTTATATATAATATTACATACTTATATAATGTCAATTAAAGATATTGTTAATTTTTTTAGTATAATTTAAAAATTATATTTAATTTGTAATTAGAGGTTGCATTATGTAATTTAAATATATAATATACTGTTTCTAAAATAGTGTTTATTACAATTGAAATTTTTACAGGTGTAAACCTTCCAGATCATAACTTGCTCCTTCAGAAAATTATAATTGAATTCTATTCGATAACACCATATGTTGCTATGATTTGGTCAAGAGATGCTAATTCTTTAAAAAATTTAATTGAAGAAATTGTCTATCAAATTATTAATAAATCGCATGAAGTATGTTTATCAGTTACATACATATATAACAATGTAGCAATACCTTGTTTATATTCAATTATTTATTAAACTCTAAATGAAAATTACACCTTAAAATAAAAGTATTTATAACTTTATTTGATGTTTAAAAAAATAAAAGATTCCTACATAATCATTTTGTTATCTATAAGTTTTTAAAGTTAGAATTATAGTGTTTTTAAATTAATAATGCTGAATATAACTCTGTACAATTTAATTTTTTAAAAATATGTATTTTAGTTTATGGATATATATTATCTGTATAACAAAAATATTAAAACAGATTTATTATTTATATAATATTTATTATTTATCGAATTTAGAAAGATAATCTAAATTGTTTATCAGAAGTTAAAAGAAACAATTGCACATTTTACACATTGAGTGCTTGGTATAATATAAAAAATAACTATAATGCTCCAATTGTCATTATAATACCAGATTTTGAAAGTTTTTCTTCAGAAATATTACATGATTTTATTTTAATATTGAGGTAAAATATATAAATTTTATAAATATCGATTTTTAAATTTATTATTCATTTTTAAATTTTTAGTTCATATTTAAAAACCATGAAATTCATATTAATTTTTGGTGTCGCAACAAGTTTACATATAGTTCATCATTCACTTTCATATGATGCTACATCGAAACTAAAAGTGCAGGTATACTATTTGATAATTTTGTATTTTAATAGTTAATATTTTTAATACATTATATATTTAATTTAGGTATTTCACACTCCAACTCAACTAAAAAATTTATCATATATTTTGGATGATATTGTTTTATCTTCTAATATTCCATTTAAATTGACTGGTCGGGCTTTTAAATTACTTGTTGATATATTTTTATATTATGATTTTTCTGTTCAAAGTTTTCTTCAAAGCTATAAGGTAAATATTTGTTACAGTTAAATTAAAAAAAAATATTATTTAAAAAAAATCACTAATTGTAGATTTGTATGTGGAAACATTTTTATCTCCAAAATGAAAAATTGCTTTGTTGCAACCGAAAAGATATAGAAGCTCGAGTATTAGAGCTAACAAATGAAGATTTACGAAGACTAAAAAACCTTCCATCTGTTAAAAATTATATTCAGTCGTTAAAGAAATCTGAAATAAACAAAAATGAATTCAGAGTATGATTGTACTGTAATTATTAAGAATAACTTTAATTTCAAATTAATTCAAATTATTTTTTCAGATAATATTAATTAATCTTCTAAATGATTTTCATACATACATGAGTAATTTTCTTATTGTATTAAAATGTTTGTATAAATTGTGTATCAATTTACCTGGATTACCTTTTGGAAAAAATGTGAGTAAAATTTAACAATATTTTAATTAAATCTATAAATCAACCATATATTATATATATACATTTTCACTACAGTTTCGTGAAATTTATGCAAAAGCTGTGAAAAATATTAATTTGTGTGAAACAACAGAATATAAGAAAGTTATTCAATTAATAAGCTTTCTTTCAAAAGAAGATTTACTGTTAAATATAAAAAATATTTTATCAGATTTAGATAATTATGAAACAATACCAGATTGTCTTATAGAAAAATTAAAATATCATATGAATATAATAAAAGATGCAAGTTTAGATATTGAAGTACCTGCTCCTGAGATCAATGTATTTAATGAAAATATGAATCGCTTACAATGGAAAGAGGTCAAAGAATTATAATTTGTATTCAATAATTGTTTAAATAATTTTCATTTAAATAACACTTTTTTTATAGAAATTAAAACTTAAATCACTAGAAACACGTAATTCACCATATAGAGAAGCACAAAGTAATTTACTTAATTATTTAGACCAAGAAGTATTTGAAAAATATCTAAAAACTCCAGATAAAATACCACTAAATGAAATCTTTTGTTATAATGATGCCATTTCAGTAAATGAAAGTATAAAAGGATCAATGAAAGCATCTATTCATAATAGTTTAAATTATCCAAATTCTGTACTTGAGGTAAATATTTATAAAAAAAAATGAGGCAGATATTATAATTATTCATCAATTTCTATACTAAAATGTTTTTGTGTAGTGCGATTGCTGTGTATCAAATAGTGAAATTGTTCCTACACATCCAGATCTGACCATAGTTTATAAACTTCATTTAGAAGCAAGAAAAATGATAAATTTATATGATTGGCTACAGGTAAATTATTAAAATATCAGTTTTATAATGTATAATTAAATGCATTTTATTTTTCTAGTCTTTTTTGACAGTCATTGATCCAAACCAATCAGATGAACAAAATGTTGATCCGGTATTGCAGTATCCTTTTTAAATTAATAATTTATTAAATAATAATATGATTTATATTTAAATAATCTAATCATTATAATCTTTAACATTTACTAGTGCACGTTTTACACGCGCTGTTGCCGAATTACAATTTTTAGGGTTTATTAAAGCTACAAGAAAAAAAACTGATCATGTCAAACGATTGACTTAAGTAAATTCATAAAATTTTGAATAAATTTTAACAATCTACACTTTATACTGCCTTAAAATTGTTCATTTTAATATAAGAGTATTTCTTATTTTTATTTAAAGAATTGACTGTTATAACTAAATTTTACATTCCACATGTAATTACGATGATAGTTTCTTTTTGATCATGTATAATAATTTATTAAGACGTGAATTTTAACTAAATAGTATTTTATTAAAATATACTTATTACATATTTACTAATTAATTTTTTTATTAATTTTTATAAATAACATTAAAGAATAAAATTATTGTCTTATTTATTTTATTGAATTATTTACACAGTTTTATAGTTTGAAAAAGTATATTTTTTATAAAAAGCATATTAATTATAAGAAACAAGAAAATGTGCTATAAATTAAAACATTAATTATAATATATAAAGTATAAAGAAAAACAACTCAAATAAATAGAAGAATGTAATGTGAAATTTCACGATAAAATAATAAAATCAATTATTGAAAATTAATATTAAGAAATTTTATAATAATACACATATAAATTTATTTCATTTATGTCCCTTTATCTAAAATTCCAATAAAAAAATTATAATGTATACTTATGGATAAAACAATTTAGTTCATTTATAACTCAGTATTGTTTAGGAATAGTTTATAGAAATCAAAATAAAAATAAAAATTTAACATAAAATTGAAACAAATAGAATAAAAAAATTAATGCAATGAAATGGGTTACATACATTACAAAAATTATTATAGTATTTTTTTTAAATATATTACTTTAAGACAAGATTAGTCATTTTTAGAATGTTAATTAATATTGGCTAAATAAAAAATCTGTTAATTTCGTAAATTTATAAAAATGTTTGTATTAAAAAATTTTATTTCTCGAATAATCTTTTTACTAATATTGGTTTATTTATATAATGTTTTTTATAAGTAAATTGTTTAAAATTAAATAATTATATAAAATCTCTTATTAAAATTAATTTATTTCTTATTAAATTTATTCTTATTAATTATAATTTTAATTGATATATTCTTTCATTTTTATTTCCATGCCTGTCTTTTTATATTTTCTTTAATAATATATAAAATCCAATGTATCTTATTCCTTATATTTTACAGTTTGAACTTCTACAAATAATTATTTATACTTTGAAATGTTGTAAAAATTTGTTTAAATTGTACATTGTATATTGAGAAACCAGTTCAATACTTGACAAAACTGATAACTATATTTAAGTGTTATTAAAATAATAAATTATATTAAAGTATTATATTACAATAAAATATGTACATATTAATTACAATTAAGTTTATTTAGGAAGTATAAGTTTACTTAGAAAATTCTTGCAAAATTTATTTTTATTTTAATTTTATATTTTTTAAATTTTTTATTTTTTATAAATTAAGCATACAAGATTATTATTATCTAGCATAAGCAGAACATTAATATATCTACTTAGCATACCTACTTTTAACAGACGTTAATTTAATAGTACATTCAAAGTGTATTATAATATTCTTTATTTGTGTAAATTACATGGTAAATACTGCATTTTTATGAAAAAAAGTAGTCATTTTTAATGATTAATACTAGAAAATTGTTTCATTTATCAATATTAGATATAAAAATTATTAAACCACAAATTATTTTAAAGATTTTTATGAAACTATTTCTTTTTGTATTGCGAATAAATTACAAAATTATTATTTTTAAAAATGTTCTTATAAAGTTGTGCATGGTAATTGAACAAAAATTATATTTATAACATTAATTTATTTATAGATATAACATCATATAACAACATAATTTATAGATACTTATAATTATTTATATATCTGGAGTTAGATATTATCAAATTGCTAAAATTTACTTGATGAATTTCGAACATAGCAATTTTTAATTACAAAATAATTTTAAATTTACAATTATTTGAGTGCTTTAAATATTCAGATTAAAGAATTTAATTGTAGAATATAATTACAATTTATACCCCTTATATTTATTGAAGGAAATAAATCAGATATCTTATATTTATAAAATTAAATAAATCAAATGAAAAGGAAAACTGATTTTTATTAAAATTTAATCAAATACATTTTATTGTTTGTTACTATTTTTTCTGTTTTATTTTTTTTTTTTTAATAAAGGAAATATCGAAAAAAGCAAAACTTTGAATATCACTTTCATAGTTACAATTTAATTACATTATTGTAGTAATAATATGTTTAGCGTATATAGTGTACATAATCTTAATCATTCATTTTATTTAATTTTTTTTTATGTTTATATCTGTTTAAACACCATTTTTAACTGTAAATGACAAATGTAAAATAAATTATATAAATTACATAATGATAGTAAGTTGAATTTTTTAATAAAATATAATGGTATTTTACATCATATAATTAGATAATTAAATTTAATAATTTACGTAGCTTACTAAGATTTTGAAATTACTAAACTTATGATACTTAATTAAAATAATATTTTGAAACTAAACTGTTGAATTGGTTTAGTTTTTGAGAATATAAAAATAGTTTTATACTATTTTAATTCTATAATGTAATTAATACATTCATATTTAAAATAATATATTTCTTTAATGGACTTATCGATTTAAGTTATTAAGGTAATTAATTCATTATTTATAGTTACATATGTATATAAATGGTAATACTGTAGCATAAATTAATATAAAATATCAAAATATTAATTATTCTATTAACAAAATAAAATAATTAAATTAAATAACCAAATAGAATTTATAATAAAATCTATTAATTTATGTGCATAATATCTCCGAAAAATAGTGTAAATATTATTATAAAAAATTGTATTTAAACGCTATTACTAATAATAAAATATAAAATAATTTGATAAAAATTTTTATTTCATTACTAAGATAACATAGTATATCCTGAATATTTAAAATATCCTTTGAAATAGAAATGGTTGTAAGGTCATCTATCATTAATCATCAATTTATATTATCAAATTTATTCATATTCACCCATTATTAAAAAAAAAAAAAAAAAATACATATATATATATATATATATATATACATATAATTTTATAATATAACAATGTACATATAAAATTAACATTATATAAGAGTAGATTTATTTTTAAAACCTTAATTTATATTTCTAGGCTTGAAATATATTTATACGATTACATTTTAGGTATGAATATATTTTATATATGAAACATTTAATGTGGTGAAATTCCTAATTATATTCATTAACTTGAACAATATATATTCATGTTTGTTAATTATTTTTATCAAATATATGAATTTTTAAAAATAATTTTGAATGTTCTTGATAATACAAAGTCAAATTTTTACGTTCAAAGCTATAAGCATGGTGTATTAAAAATGTGCTCTGCAAGTGTATTTTACATTTTTATTTAAAATTCATATAAGATTATATTTAATATTTTGAAACTGTATGTTTAGATAATAAAGATATTAAAATGATGACAATATTATTATTGATAATTATTGACAATGAAAACTGTTATCATTATATTAATTCTTTACATTTAGAAATTAAAAATACCTCGAAATTTTTATTTTATCGCTAGAAATATATATATTATTACTGAAAAATAAAAATTTTAAGTGTAGTACTAGTTTAAATAACAATGTATATTAAAAATATTAAAATATAATTTAGATTGAAAAAATTTATTAGGAATATTTCCATTAATGTATTTCAAATCTTAGTTAATATCTGAGTTGACTATCAATAATATTATTGTATAATAAAATAGTAATGATTAATAATTAAAGTTCACTAATAAATTATTTAAATATAAAATTAAATAGTAAACATCCGCAAGTTTCTCAAAAATATTTTTAATAATTCATAAATTTAATATTATAAACTGCTGTATTATAGTGTTTTATTAATTTCAAAATTAATTTCTTTATACCAATGCAATTAGTAAAAGATGATAATACATATATATTTATAACTATGTTTTTAATGTGAAATTGGAAGAAGTATTAATAATATACGTTTTTTTTTTATAATTAAAAAATACTAATTAAAACCTATTAAAATATATTAAGAAACTGTGCAGTTTGTTATACTAACATTGGTAAATTAAAAATAATAGTGATTTAATTTGAGCCGTCTTGGGCTATATTCTCAACTTTCTCTTCGAAAAATCAGAGAGCGAATGAGAAGGCTCGGTTTACTGTATAATGTAGTTTTAGAAATCGTACGTACTTGTAGAAACCTTAGATTTCGGGTATCGCCACTTAGAATACAGCGTCCTATAAACCTAGCTGTTCCTTTTCAAACAATCGCTGTAGTGGGGATGTAACCTTTCTGCAGAGGTTAGGTTTGCTTCAATAATGATGCTTCATGCTTGTTACAAAGGCAAAAGTTATGCTGGGTCCAAGCGTTCGGAAAAGCATTGATAGGTCAGTTGTGTCCAGTTAGCATAGATTTAAGGTGATGTTTATACGGGCTTTTAGGTTATTTTATTTACTCAAATTGGCAATTTTATAGTATCAAAAATGATTCTAATTAATAGCATTATAATAAGATTGATAAACACTTTTTCGTGATAATATAGACAATTATTTATACGTTCTGTATTGACTTGTTAAAAGGATGTAAACAAGCATGTGAGTATGCATACGTTCGATATAACTGACAAATAAGTTAGTTTTTTAAATATTGTTTTTTTAAATTAGTAGCATTTCCAGTGACTTCAAGTACAACCGCATTAGATAGAAACAATATATAGATTTACTTTATAATTATGAGACTACTTTATTATATAGATTAGCAGTTATTTAATAAATGTTTTTTATACATATATTAAAGTACTATATACTATATATTCTAATGTTGTAGAGAATATTTTATTTATATTTATATTAATTTTTATCATTTATATTTATATTGTAATATTGAAAATTTTAGCTTACTTCGTTTTCTTTCAGCCAAAATGAAATAATATATTTCGAAACGTTGAACAAGTTTAAATTTTAAATTTTTATAATTATATTTTGATAATATATAAGTAATAATAAATTAAAAACGTATCACTCTAATGTTTAAATATTCTTAAATTGAAAATTTTTAATACTGACTATTTAAATTATTATAATAATTAATTGTATCAATTATAATAGTAAATAAATATTTTAAATGGTTAAATTCACTAGTCAATCTATTTTGTGAAAATAACAATTTAAGTTAAAATGCATTAAACAAAACAACAAAATCAGTTTTTTCAAACATAAAAGGCAGAGTTCGAAGAACTTACACCTCGTCAACATTCCATCTTATTTCCGAGATTTTGAACTTTCAAACAATCGAACCCTATAGTACTATAGTAAAACTTTACCGTTAGAAATCCCTCCAATTACCGTAGGCCTAGGTAAACATTATATTGCATTATATTATGATATATTAAACATTTTAAGGACACCTTTACATTATTTAATTTTACGTCTATTAATTATTTTGGGTTTAAAGCATTTTGAACAAATTATTTTCAATTATAGTACGTAGAATGATAATTAAAAAAAAAAATTCCTTTTCATTTCAATTATTATATTCCAATATTTTCTTATAAATAAACATACTATTAATTTGAAAAATTCTGTATTAAGTATTTTAATTATTTTAACAAATTTATACATATAGCATCATGCATACAAATTCATAACTAGATCTGTATATTACTGTTATATACATTATTTCTGAAATAAAAATAATTTAGTATTTTCTTAATGATTAAAAATTAGAAAATATGTTTAATAATATTTCATTTATTATTGTTGTTTTTATTATTGTTTTCATTCTCTTACGTAAATATTTTTAACAATTGTAGATAAAATAATTTATAGATAAATTTACGTTGTTTATTTTATTAAGTTATTTTATTTAATAATATTTATACGAATACCTATTAATTATATGCTTTAAGAATTAAATATGCATATAAAAGGCGGAAAATATTATAGTAGTATTTGACGTAATTATAAAAATCGACATAATATGCGACTTGCAACCTTTTATATTAAAATTGAAATAAATGTTATCGAATTTTAAAACTGTACTCAATAAATCCTCAAATTCATTTTTATTTCCTAACTTAAATAACTTCAAATGCAATGAAGCATTATTTCTCACGTGGCTGTTTTCATTAGGAGTTTATTTAATAAATCTGTTACAGTGATTTGGAATAATATTATTTTTCAGTAATATTTTATTCCATTGTATTATTATATACGAATGTTAGGATAAATTAATTAGATATTTAAAACATTTCTTGATCAAGCTTAGAAAAGACGTGTTTAGGTTTTTTATACTTTCAACATTTATTAATATTTAACTATAGACGGACGCATACATTTTTTGGAGAATGTTCCATTCTATACGGATATTTCAACAATAATTAATCTATTAATGTAATCAACAAAATAAAATTCATATAATTATGTCTATATGTATTATGTATGTCATCAGACCTTAATCATATGAAAATTATACATAGTCATAAATTGAAAAATTTAGTAGAATATAGCTATAAAATATTATACCAGTTTGTCGTTTTACAGCTTCCATGGATTTGGACCAACTTATGATACTTTTGTATTCCGTTTGAATTTTTATAAGCTTGAAACATTTATATTGATTTATCATTACAAAAGAATAATAATAATAAATAAATATTGAAATAAAAAATGGATGAATCTGGACGGTTAATTCATTCCCCTGTATCAACTGTTGATTTGATTGGAGAAAGTGGAATTTCAAACGCAGGACCTTATAGGGTTGCAGGCTCTATTAGTAGTATGGATATTACATTATATTTTAATATATTTTAATTAAACACATAAATTATTATTAAATACATAAAATTAATTTAAGCAAAAAAAAATTTTTTTTTCTCCGATAAAAATAGCGCGTAACGCGTTAGTTTAATATTTTAAATATCAGATAATTTTTGTAATTCATATTCTTTATTATAACTATGAGAAACAATACCAACTGATGATTAACAGACTTTGACAAAAGTCATCTACATGCTTTCTTTTTTAATTCGAAAAAAGCATTCATTGTACGTACAGGTCAGGAATCCGAACACGGTGTACGCCGCAGGGACATTAACGAACTACTCCACCAAATAATGGGCATTCACACCCAGAGTTTGGATGAGGCGCACGAGCGTAAACGAACGTTGCGAAATCACCAATTAATGCCTACTTTGTACAATGTTCTGTGCGAATTTAAGGAAAAGACAGGTCTATCGTTGCGCCATATCCACGAGGAAGATCTGCAGCCTGACGCCCAACTCATGCGTTTAGATAATATGCTAATAGCGGAGGGTGTGACTGAGCCGATGAAAGCTGGCGGATCTACGCCTTCGAGAACATCTAGGTGAGTAAATATATTATATATCAGTTTATATATATTCAGCTATTTTAATTTACTAATATTAATGTTAATTAACACACATATCTGTATCTAATATATCTATATATATAAATATATATTATTGTCTCATCAACATTATTTATTGGTAGTAAAGCTTCGATTTAAAATATTTCTTTATAAAAAATACAATCAATTTAATAATTTAGTTTTGAAATAATAGAATAGAGAGTAACAGTATCCTTAAGAAATGTAATAACTTTTATTAGAATTAGTACGTTTACTAAAATCACCTAATACAGTTTTATGGGACAAAATTGCCATAATTTATTTTTATTTTTATTATTATTAAATAAATTTGAATAGTATTTTTATATTTTTATTGACTTTTATATTTATTTCTATATATATTATATTTTTATGTGAATATGACAGTTTATGTAAGCCAATTTTAATTGGATTGTGATTTAAAAATCACATAGAATTTTTTAAATGGTAAAACTGTATTTTTGGTATAATTTTAGTCTATCTCCTCGAATAATAATTTTTGCCTCTTTATAATTTAAATATATTTTTAACTGAAAAAATAAAAAAATTCCATTCTTACCCACTAGATAATTTGTATTGATCTTGTTAATTTAAATAGTTTTAAAAAAATTATATTTGCCATTATTAACGTATAAATAAAAATTGTAAAAACATGGCCAGAAATTAGAACTATAAGAATTTGCCTATATTTTACAATATTTGCAATATTTTCGTTGCCTTTCTTATTCAAGATTTTCAATATTGAAGCAAATATAAGTAAACAATTTTTTAAACAAAAATTTCAAAGAATCTATGCTTTACTATCTTATCATTTTTTAATATACATTGATCTACAAGTTTAATTTTTCAATTAATATTTTTTCAATCATGAAATACAATTAAATTAAACCGATTAAAATGAATGGAGTTTTTTAAGCAACTGATCGTATTCCAATTTAAGCAATTTACTGAAATTTTATTTCTGAATAGCTAATTTTAATATAAAAAAATTTCATTTATTATACGATTAAAAGAATTTTATAAATATAAATTTTAAATTACTATGATAAAATAAAATAATATATATATAATGTATTTTACGAATGTTATTTTATATGTTATGAGATGATAATGGACTTTCCTGCTATATATACTAATCACTATATTTTTACATGTTTGCGGAAGATTTATAATATATAGATGGCTTCTAGCCACTCAGTAACTTAGTCCCTGTACATTTTTAATGGAATCATGTATATATTGTTTCCATTTTATTTTTATTTTTTTTTTATTTTTTAATTATTTATATATCGTTAAATTTGGGATATCAAAATATTCTTATATTTAATGCTGTAATGGTAAAATTTTTGTTTTTTGTTTAATTGCAAAATGTCCAAAATAATGCACTAATAATGATTAATTAAAAAAAAATGTTTAGTCAACTCGACAGTGCTATCGAACACTACGATTATCGTAACAAACTCAGCTCCATTAGACAATGGTACCACCAAGAGCTTGCAAAATATGAGAGAGACTGCAACATGTTTACCGGTCATGTTGTTACTTTATTGAAAGATCAAAGTGCAGCTAGACCGATTGCTAACAAGGAGGTTGAAAAGACGGTGCAGATAATCCAAAAGAAGCTAAGCAATATTCAGATTCAACTAAAACAACAGACTTGCGAGGCAGTAATGAGTCTTAGAAGCCGATTCCTCGATGCAAGGCGAAAACGGCGCAATTTTAGCAAACAGGCCTCAGAGATACTTAACGCTTACTTTTACTCACACTTGAGTAATCCTTATCCAAGCGAGGAGGCAAAAGAAGAATTGGCGAGAAAATGCGATATTACCGTGTCACAGGTAAGCAAAATTTATAAGAATATTTGCATTTCATGTTTTACTATCTCAAACGGATGAATGAACAATAATAAATAAAAATAATACTAATGATGCAATTAATATTATTTAGCAGAATTATTTTTAGTAGCACTATTTTATTAAATCAGTATTTTTATAATTATGCTATTAGTAGTAAATCAAGAAAATCTATTATTTAGCTTTTGTACATTTTTAGATGGTAATAAGATAATCCAATTAAAAAGATAATAATTGCTTTTTAAAAAGTGAACAATTGCCAAAAAATGCTTATATAAGAAATTATTATTATCTTATACAAAATTTAATAGAACTTAATCTCATTATTTTTTTGAGTAATTGATGAAAGACTTGTATTTACATTTAAACTGTTAAAAATAAATTACAAAATTCAATATTCATTTATTTTTCACCCCATTGGAATTTATTAGTAACTAAATAAATAATACAAAGGAGAACAGAACAATGCTCATACTGGAAAAACCTTCAATGAAATATAATTAGCTTATATGAATATTATTTGAATAAAATATTAAATTCATAGGTGTCCAATTGGTTTGGTAATAAGAGAATCCGCTATAAAAAAAATATTGGCAAGGCTCAGGAGGAAGCTAATCTTTATGCAGCGAAGAAGGCTGCGGCAGCAATAGCCAGTAGCTGTGGCTCCGGCTCCTCACCTTATCATGCAGGATCCTCCAGCCAGGGAACGCCTACGCCAATTATGTCGCCCACTCCATCTCTCGGGCCTCAGGATATGCAAGCCTATGCGCTTAATATGAATGCTAGCTCGACGCATTATGGTAGTCAGTCCTACAACACTTCCGTCAACTACGACCCCATGCAACACTCGCGCATGTCACCAGACTTGTGATAGGGAGAGAAACTTGATAAATTGCAAAAGTATTCTTCACTCATCAGATTATGCGGAGACTTCGTATTATCATTAAAATTCTCTTTATTATATTTTCTGATATCAGTTTTAATAATGGGACACTGTTAAGGCAGATTAATTAAAATATTAATAACTAGTTCTGATTCATTGCGGAAATGCTTGTTCAATTCAAGCTGATGCATCCAAGCATTGCTTTTAATGCATGTTTGGATTGGTCTAGTTGTTGTCCGTTCATGATGTTTCTACTTTATCCAACAGAAGAGAGTGAGAGAGAGTGAGAGAGTAATAATAGTTCTCAAGTGGTAGCTTTAATGCTTGTTTATCATTATCTCGTTGAAGGATAGTCCAGGTTTCCAAAAACATATTAGTCATTGCATCTAGCTCTTTGTAAACCGGTAGTATTCGGTTTTTAGAATGGTAATAATAATATCTTAATAAATCCCCTAGAGAATTTAACGATGAACCATTTCATCGTATGACAGTCACAATCATCTTAAATAACGAAGTTCGGATGTTTTTAATGAAAGAATCCAATAATTTGGATGTTATTAGACTCCGAAAGACATCACGCCAAGATTGTCCATAAGAAAATGCAAGTACAAAGATTCCTTATCTATTTAATTTCAATGTGATATTTTTTGGGATCACATTCGACGAACGAGCACATGGAGCCCTTGTCAAAGAACTAGGAGCAATGAGTAACACGCTTTTAGAGACCTGGATTATACTACAATGAGACAGACAGACAAGCATCAGCTAGTAGAGGAATAATTATTGACCATTTTCAGTCCGTTAAAACTATTCTCTCTCTCTCTCTCTCTCTCTCTCTCTCTCTCTTCTATTGGAGAAATTAGAAACAATTGGTAATTGGTTATCAAGCAATTATCCGTCAAATATAAATCAGATATAAACTACCTCAAAAACCCTTGACATCAATTCATAAGCCTAATGACATTACATTAATGTTTCATTCGCAGAAGTATTTTACATATTAAATATACGAGCCAGTATTTTCACAAATTATAGCCAATTATATTTCTGTGCAGATAAATGATGGATTGAATTTGTAAACGATGCAATTATCGGATTTTTAAAAGTTCGAACATTTATTAAACATATACGATAGCATAATACTCTTTTTATATTTATAGACAAAATATTTTTAAATGTCATTATAATATCTTTAAATGAATTTTTCTTTAAATATGTATTTAAATCATTAAATATTTGTATTTTTGATGTTCATTCGGAATAAAAAAATTAATTCCGTCCAATGTGTGTTACCAACATTTAGTGAATTCATGTCGGTATTCAATAAACATGAGACTACCATATTTAAAAAAAAATACGACTTACATTATATATATATATATATATATATATATATATATATATAAATAATAAATGTTAATATTTAGCATAAAATCTGATGTTTTTAAGCCGTGCCATTTATATAAAACCATATCTACCTCATAAATGACTGAAATTTCAATCAGTTTTTATACGAAATAGTAACAAATATTATTAATAATCAATATTCAATTAATTATGCGATGATATAGAATACTTTTAGTTTATAAAATTTATTGTCAAAATATTTTTATTCGTGTATTACCTTGTTTATTAAAATATTATAAATAGTTTGTAATAAAAATTCTTATAAAAAATACAACTTTCTTCAAAGTTTATATAAACTTATATGATCCAAAAACTTCGTTTAAACTGTTAACTATTTAAAAATTCATTCAAATAATTTGAGAAAAAAATTCATTAACTATACAAATTTTAATAATCCACTTTCAATTACCGAAGATGTTGCATGATTTATCTTCATGTGCATAATATTAATTATATTAATTAGTATATACTCAGTTATATTTATTTATTTTATTATAAAAAATTTAAGTAAGGATTACTTTTCTTTTTAAATTGTTGCTTTAGTAAATATTCTAATTTTAGCAATATTGAATTAATATAATAAATAAGATTAATATAATAATTTGAATATCATGGCTTCAACTTCTTAATACTCTACTAAATTAATATTCTTGACTTGGTAATTTTAAAAAATCAGAAAAATTATATTATATTTTGTAAATTTATTTTTTCGATTTATTTTATGCAAATAATTAATTTATTTGCATCATCATTATTGAATTGAAGTTTGTTATCGCATAATCGATAATCGATAGATATGAAAAATATTGGCAAGGCATTGGCTGTATTGTTAATCTTGTAAGTGATATTAATTTAGATATATTATTGTTAACATTTTTAAGTAATTAAATATGTTTTAATGAACATTACAAATAACGATGTGTTTTCATAATAATTTTATACTAATTTGTTAGATTAAAATGGACTTTGGAAGTGATTTTCTCAATTAAGAATAAAAATTAATTTAAAAAAAAATAATATTGTTTTAATTTTCTTTTACTCGTTTGTATTTTTATTATTGTATATATACAGTAATTAGTAGTCCAAGTATATTCTTTATCATTTTTAATTTCTTTTTAACTGTTTGAATTGTATATATTACACAATACAAAACAAGTAAATAATTTATGTATATTCTGTAATTATAATTATAAATCGATAATGCTATAGGAATAAAATTTGGTTTACTGAATTATTATTCTGTCTAATTATAATTTAAATTTTCCTTCATAGAAATATTTGAATTATTTAAATATTTAAAATTTGAAAATCATATAATTGTATTTCTTTACATATTAAATTTAAAAATAAATATTAAGATGCAATTATTTTTAGGTAAGATTGATGTATTCCTCGCCTAATACTATAAAAATTAGTATTGATGGTGATACAAAAATATTCAACCATACTTGTGTGGAAAATTTAATCTATTATAAATATTCAAATATTTATGTTTATGTGCAATATATGTAGTTTATTGTAAGTCATATAATTTTAAATACTTATTTTTACTAAATTTAGTGTCACTTATTTGTAAACCATGTTCTTCCATTATCATTATATCATTTAAAAAATTTAAAAACTGATAGAATATTGAATAATATTATACACATTTATTTTTGAATATAATGATAGAAGATAAAAATTATAAATTTTTATTATAATTTTCCCAGAACTGATATTAAAGTATGCAAATTTGATAGTGTATAGTATGTGTTGCATATTTTATGTAATATTTTTTATATAACCTTAGATATTATATACACTACACATAAATGGTATATGAAACTACAGTTTTTTTTTGGAATGACCCCGGAGATATAATTACATAAATATACAATACATAAAATGTAATGATGCTTTTACTCGAATCTCTTTACAAAAGATTCCACAGCATATGTAATAAAATTGTTAAATTTAGAGCTGATTATTAGCTTACTTAACTTTCTAATCAATAAATTAAAATGAATGATACATTTTTTTGTTAAATAATAAAAACTGTAACATTATACAATAAGCTGTGTGTATTATTGAGCAACTTATGGAATAAGTTTATAAATGATTATCAAATTACAAAGAGAAATCAGACGAAAGTCAAGGATGCCTAAATTTTATTTGCTAATTGAAACGAGTATTATAACAAATTTTTTAATTTATTGAAGTCAATATATAAACTCAAATTATTCAATATAACAAATTTATTGAAAAAGTATGTCAGTAATGTTTCATATTTATCCATTAGTATTTGACTAATATGATATCAGTTAAAAGATATTACAATTATATTAAATGTTTTTGAAGTTTCAAAAAGGAAATAATATTATTTAACATTGATTAATAAGAAAATTACTACGTTACAATTATCATTACTTGATATCTTAAAATTAAACAAGTCAAGTAAGGCCTTCTAATTATTTTTTTCATCTTTTAATTTGAAATAATTTAAATTAATTTAAATTGAATGTAATTTAAAATAATCAGAGATAGTAATAACAAATAAGGATGTGCCTTGACCCACTAACTCGTCGTTTTTGCTATTATAGAGAAACTCCGTCATATACGAGAAATAAAGCGAAACATTTGGTTTAATATATTAACTATCATTTTTTCTATTCTATTTGAAAGGCATTGAAATTATATGACGACAGTTACCACTGATACTTCGATTTTTATTATCTTCTTTTGACATAATTATCAGGTTTTTTTCGAGCAAATAAGCATATGCTTACGTACATGCATGCATGCATACATACATTCTCACATATGCATATATACATGTTTTATTGTGAATACGTCTAAATAACTAATATTTATAGATAATTTCAAATCTCAAATGTAATTATTGTAGCCAATTTACCATGCAAAATATTACGTCACTGCAGTATAAAATACGGCGAAACAGTGATCGAATCATCGTGACATAACAATTGAATTTTGAAAATTGTGTTAGATTCAACCTACTTTAACAGATTGACAACCCGGAGCTTATATGTATTTTATATTTTTTCACGCGTTATAAATCTTGAAAAAACTAAAAAGTACACTCGATTGATCTAAATATAATTACTTAATGTAAAAAATATCAGAAAAATTGCCATTACATATCTATATCCATTAGTCTTTCATTGTTAATGAAATTATTTTCTGTTGTTAATTTGTAACAATTTATTTTTATTAATGATAACTCAAACATTAATTCTATAAGTTGATATATTAAACGAGAAATTTTTTATACTATGATTTGTCCATATAATTAATAATATTTTTATTATTGAAATGAAATTGAAAATGTTTGAAAAATATAGTAGTACATTGTATATGTAACGAAATAAATAACTTTATTTAATATTATATTTACTACGGACATAAAAAGAGATATTTTTACAAAATGAACTATTTATTTATAGAGCTACTAAATTAACCTATCTTATTTTCTTCTTTTAATATTTATATTTTATTTTAATAAGTTTTAATATATTATTCATATTTTTAATGCCAGCACTCTTCAGTAGATAATAATTTTTCACAATTAAAACAATAATTTTAAATAACACAAATGAAAAAGAAACAAATTTTAAATGTTTAAGTATAAACTATTAATATAGTGCTTATTACTTTGATATATAATATTTAATACATATAATTTAATAAAAATTTTTGTAATTGACAGTCCATAATACAATTATATTAATTTTAATAGAATTTTAGTGACTTAATGATCATTTTTTAATAAAGCTTTAATCAATATAGGCAAATCGTTTTCCCTCACAACATGAATAATATTTTATTACT